AGCAAATAGGTGCTTCTGCTAGTTCTTTTTAGAACCTTACTTGAATTGAGCTGTCATGTTGTGTTCTTACTAACCATCTACAAGGTTTGCTCATCTTCTGGGACTTCGAATCATCCAGTCAGCTTCTTGTACGAAGCCGTGACAGGCTATCGCTCTCTACACTGAAGCCATCGACCGTGCCTCGCACAAGGATTATCGGACTGTCTTTAGCCCCAGGTGTTGTGCACGGTGAGCTGGTGAACGTGAGAGAGGACTTAATGTCACCCAGCCCTGCGTCAAGTCTGAATACTTCTTGCATCACAGACACACACAGGCGCACACATCACCCCAGACTCCTTAGTTCTTATACAGGCAAGTGTTTACCTAGTGCCTTCAGCCTACCATATCGCTTCACAACTCAATGTATGCATGCTTCCACTAACAAGACCCTGGGAGTGATATCACGAACCCTAGACAGTAGGATCCTTATTGTAATGATCCCTAGTACTAACACGGGTACCCGAGCCTTGCGAAGCATACATCAGTCAGCGGAATCCGTTCTCGGAGTCCTGCCACGAGCTCGTGGCTGTCGTTCCGCCGGCTATCAAGTTGCGGGTTGCGGGCTTTGGCTTACTACAAGGTCTCATAAGGGCACTGCAAAGGTTAGGGTTCCCGAACGGTTTATGGTTTGCAGTAGGGCTACTATATTCCGATGCACAGCCGGCTCGTGATAGTCAACCCTGAACAGGAGGCGGCCAAGATCTTTCAATCCTAACCCGGTTCTCGATAATGAAACAGCCGAAAGCCAAGGGGATCCTGATTGCCTGGACACGCGAACAGTGGCTACACTCTATTACAACAGGCACTTCGCCAGCATACTTGGTTTGGGCTAAGGGTTCAGCATACCTGGGCGGCTTCGAACATGGCCGCTAGCTGGTGTCTTGGAGGGGACGCGCAAAGCACTCACGGACCAGAGTTTCGAGTCAAGACCGGTCCAGAATTCAAGGGCCAGTGTGTCTGGCCTTGGTTCTTCGAGCTTGAGATTCAAAACCCGGTAGCTTCGTCAGACCGTTGGACCCGGGCAAGAGATTCTGTCAGAGGTCAAGCAAAGATGATGCTGTTTCCTAGCCATGTGTCGTACCTTCCTTGCCAACATCAGGCAGCTCTTAGCTTGCTTCCACGCACAGTGCCTAGGGCGACTGTGTTTTCTTTGGATCAGTTTGTGAATATCTCTGTGTCTGTGTGTCTGTGTGTTTGTGTATGTGTGTGTGTGTGTCTGCCAGTGTGTCAGTGTGTGCTTTGTGTCTGCATGCATTCCCATGTGCTTTCCCATGTGCAGCTTACACTTGCTTTTCCTATCTCACACTCTAGCCGCTAGCCTCCCTAGTCCCCAGGCCCCCCCCCCCCCTTCCTGCAACACCAGACCATAAACCCGCAAGTCGATGCCACCTCTGTGCTGACGTGTTCTTTCAGATACTCGCAGTGCGCGACAGCTGGAACCCCGTAAGCCTATAGGGAGAAACGATGCAGGTCTGCGGCCTTGCGCAAGCGAGGTGAGTTCGAGAAGGCCTTGGATGATGCGCCACCCCGACACAATTGCGCGAAGCATTCGAGTTGAGAGTAACATGTGATCAAAGGGCACAAGGAGGAACCCTTAATGGGGTCCATGCCCTGTAACGGGCTATACAGTATCCTTGGATCTAGACGTCTCAGGAAGAAAGCATGCTAGAGGAATGTGCTCTAGTTGAAGAGCCCGAGCGTTGATGGCCGGTTGATGGTATTCCCATGAGGTATCGCCTGCGAAGTGTCGTATCTGTGCTTGTGCATGTACATATGTGTGTATATATATATATATATAACGGGATGGGTTGGTATACACACCAACACACTGTCCCAAAGGATAACTTCAATGTGGCACAGATCATGGAAGTTGGCAGCAGCTTTCAGCAAGAAAAGAAGAAACAATTGCACAATAATCTGTTGCTGCTGCCGTTTCACCGGACTTTACCGGACCGGGTCACTAACTTTTGATGAACACGTGAGGCGCTTCCGCTTCCTTGAACAGAAAAGCTGCAGACAGAAAGATTCCAAGCTCGTGACAGGAACATGTGCCTTGCGCTCCACCCAAAGTGGACGAAGGCTCACTTTGTGAGGAATGCTTTCTTTTGCAATTATGCCGGCAAGCCTTCCAGAGAATTGCACGGAGCCCTTGCCGACGGCTGCATGATGCTGGATGTCGTGGATCATGCAGTCGAGCCAGTGCACACGTTTTTCCATTTAAGCGTGACTCGCGTCGTGGCGTAGTTTGCAGCCTCCAGACCCCCACACTGATCCTGGAATCTGAAAACCACTCGCTTTGCCTGTCCCGTGAGGCTCTTTACCGTCGCGGCATACTGTTGCTGGAGCACCTCGGATGCAAAGATGTTGCAACACCATGGCGGCAGCGTTTGTCGAATGTTGTGATCCCTAATCTGCGATACGAGGTGCGGCAGATACGCAGAAGCATTGACAGAGCTGAAGGCGCGGGCGTTGTCGCTTGCCTGTTCCACTGCGATTTCGGGTTTTCTGGTGGTATCATCACGTCTGCACCCGGACTCGAACGAGGACCGGATAATGTAGGGGCCTTAATAATTCGAACAGAGTTTTGGTGCCCATTATACTATAAATATAATAAGGAGCCCCAAAATAGTATAGTTAATAGGTAATTATTTAGGCCCCTATATTATCGTCAGAGCAATTGGCTCCAGAGCTTCAACGAATCTATTTGAGCCGGAAGGCCTGAATTCAACACTGAAGCAGCAAAGCTACCCGGATTCATCCTTCTGTCAGACAGTTCGTACAACTGGGCGGGGCTCCAGGAAGTTTGTGCTGTGGGCGAAGGGACTGCAACAGCAGCGACAGCAGCAACGCATGCCTGCAGCAATGGAAGCGACGCTGAAAGCATCAAGATCATCAACACCTGCCATAAGCGAGCTCAGTGCAACGCAATTACAACAAGCGTCACACCACTTGGGTTCCAGATTCTGGCTGGTCGTCGTCATCATCATCACCACAAGACCTTTGCCTGCCGGGTCACACTGAAGTAGACCCGGGCTTCTATTCATTCGGGCCGCGACATACCTTGAGTTCACTCCCTTCTTGTTAACGAACTTCAATTAAGTAGTTGCCATAATAGGGATCTGTAGTAAAGAGTTGGTTTTAGGCAGTCTTCAGTCTGCTTGCAAAGCTGCATGTCCTTGTTTTGTTGAAGGCCTGGCGGCCCAACAAGTTGTGGTAGAGGTAAGTTCTTGTCCAGTTCAGTGGGCCCGAAGGATGAAGGAGGTTCAGCGTTCGCGCTACGCGCTTCCTGATATTCTGGCCTGCTTTTTTCGTGCCCTTGCATTGCGAGACACTTGATGATGGCACGGCAGAGAGAGAGAGAGAGTAAAGAATATGGTTTCTTCATTATGGTAACTCAGCAAGATTCCTTAAGAAGAACCCTAAACCCTAAACCCTAGACCCTAGACCCTAGACCCTAGACCCTAAACCCTAAACCCTAAACCCAGTTCAGGTGGTGCAAAGAGCAGACCCCACCTTCGATAGTGACCTCGAGGAGCTGGAGCCTTGAAGCCTCGGTGCTCTGCGCTCTGAGGTTCAGGTTTGGGAAAGTTAGGGGTTAGGGATTTGAGGTTTATTTAGGGTTGAAGGTTTGTTTAGGATTTAAAGTTCAGGGTTTAGGGATTTTCGCTGGCTGACACTAAGAGCCCAGCTGCAAAAACGGGGTTTAAGGTTTAGATTCTACTCCCAAGCGTGGATGTAGAGAGATATAGGATCTAGGGTTCCTTCTTCAAGGGTATCCGGCAGTCGCAGAAGGCCTGGATGCCAAAGGCTTTAGGATTGCATGGTCTGGCTAGGCGTGAGTCCAGTAGCGAAAAAGGATGTCGGATTTAGGATCTGCGGGACTGTCTCGCAGCACTGACCGACACACCCGAAGTCCCACGAAAGAGATTTGCGAGGCTGTGACCGAGGGGAAAACAATTCACGATAATATACCATGAAATACGACCATGGACCTGTATAATAACAACAATAATAATAATAATAATATTCTACAATAGGCTATGGTATGCTATACGATGCTATAACACACTATCACATACTATCATGGCTAGAGCCTAGAACGGAGGAAGCTGCTCATGCCTGTTCCTGCAGCAGTTTTGGCTGAAATCCCTCAGCTTCTCTCTTCGTATATATCGAAATTGAAAAGGCCAACGGCTCGGTGAGAGGTTTAGGGTTTCGAGTTTTCAGGGTTCAGGGTGTGGTGAAAGACCGAGTGGAGGGTTCGTGAGTTGAATCACCTAAACGCGATAGTGGAAACACAGTAGTTCACTTCCATTGAGGTAAGGGATTGGAGACAGCCCTCAAGCCCTTGAGCGCCACATGTAGCGCTTGTCTGATCTTGTCTGGTTTGTGTCATTTCCGGCCTCGAGAGCAGATTACAGGTTGGGTCCCAAGGGCTGTAATGTAGGAGCCTTAATAAGTAGACTAGGGTTTTTGAATATATTGTACGGTAATTTTAATTATAATTGATACGAGGTCACGGATAGATGGCATACCGCAGAAAGACTTTGATATGCCAGAATTTGTGAACATGATGGTCGGGAAGCGCACACGAATTGTTACCGTGCCACGCGGGCGCGTTTTTGCGAAGTAGGAGTGGGCAAAACCCTAGCAGCCGACTTTGCTGAGTTTAAGGTTACCGTTTCATAAACCTGATTGTGCCCAACAACCAGTTGCCCGCTATGTAGGTAACTAGGCTCCTAAAGAAAACTAGGCGACCTCTCGCCCAGCACCGAATCCTAAAACCCTAAACCCGAAACTGTATGGAACTGTATCCCTACACCTTGAACCATATCAGCTGGGCGCGTGGCAGAAGCCACAAAACTACACACCCTAACCCTAAACCATGTTCGCCCTAAAACACTAGGCCTCGAAGCACCTACTCCTAAACCTTGAGCCAACCTCTGAAGGCTTTTGAACGCATGGCTCGGGTCTTTGGGGCCATCGTTGCAGCGGCTGCCCTGCTTGGCAGCCGGAGCGAACCCGTCGAGGTACATTCGGGGTTTACCTCCTCATTGTCTTCACACAAGTATACAAACTACTCTAAATGGGTAGTACTTTTGCCACTGTACTGGTCTAGGATTCTCGGCACGACATGTCGAGATTGCCTTGGAGCATCAAAAAGTGAATTCTAGCGCTGCCTCCTGCAATTCCCTTCGTACCAAGGTGGTTTTCCCCTCAACCAGGCCAGACTTCGAGTCCTCCACCTCAAAACCCTGATCCGACGGCAAGTGTATGAGAAAAAGGGGTAAAAAATGCAGGCAGACTGCAAGGAGACGGAAGGGCCCGGCTTGTCCTTCATCCAAGCCAAGGCACAGAACTGGGTAGTTGTCAAAATGATGGCCCCTTTTTGGGTACCTAAAATAATAGGTGCCGTATTTTAACAAGGACCCAAAAGGGAACCCTAATATTGACAACTACCCAGATATCTACAGTGCTGGGCTTTATATTCAGGGGGAGATCTGAAAGTTGAAGGCCGGAGCTGATGATCGTGTAGAGAGGACTTTGTTGGTTTCATCGGGGATTTAGAAGTCATGAGGTGTTTCTGGTTGAATGGAGCGCTTGCTTGTTGGCGGAGCACGATAGCACGTGTCCTCAGACAATTGAGTAGATTCAGTAGACCGGTGCTGCACTGCGGCTACGGTTCACATCACTTGGACATCCCGACCGAGCATGCAAGTCCAAGGCACTCGCAAGGGGAAACAGCACAGCGAAGAAGGAGGCGCTTGAGTACCATTGGTGCTTCATCTGCAGCAGATGTGGAGGGCTTGGGGACTTACGAACCAGAAGATCAAAAGTGTGCCCTACACTTCGGGTGAGATAGTCGTAGTCGCAGTCACGCTAGTCGTCCTCGTTGTCGTACTAGTAGCAGTAGTAGCAGTAGTCGCAGAAGTAGCAGTAGCAGTAGCAGTAGCAGTAGTAGTAGTAGTAGTAGTAGTAGTAGTAGTAGTAGTAGTAGTAGTAGTAGTAGTGGCAGTAGTGTAGTAGTAGTAGTAGTAGTAGTAGTAGTAGTAGTAGTAGTAGTAGTAGTAGTAGTAGTCGTAGTAGTCGTAGTAGTCGTAGTAGTCGTAGTAGTCGTCGTAGTGGTAGTGGTAGTGGTAGTGGTAGTGGTAGTGGTAGTGGTAGTGGTAGTGGTAGTGGTAGTGGTAGTGGTAGTGGTAGTAGTAGCCGTAGCAAGAGCAGAGTAGGACCTTAGGAGTAGGAGTTGGAGTCGCAGGAAAAGGAGCAGGAGCAGCAGCAGTAGCAGCAGCATTAAGCAGCAGCAGCAGCCGTCGCAGCAGATGGAGCAGTAGCAGCCGTACTGTAGTCGTGGTCGTCGTGGTATTGGTGGTAGTAAGAAGTAGTGGTAGTGACGCATAGTAGCAATGGTCCTAGCAGAAGCAGCATTTATAATAAGCAGTGTCATCATCAAGCCCGCTGTCCGTTTCTGCGAGAGGAAGTATCTTCTTAGCGGCCTTAGGTCCTCTGGCCGCGGCAACTATCCCAACTACGGCGTGGCCAAACACACGGCGCCCTTCGACCTCGGCGCAGCTCGTCGTCTTCAGGAGGGTTAGCTTCCTGGATCAGAGGTTGGGAAGTGCATCTAGGGTTGGGTTCGACGGATTCGGCAGTCGCAACCATATCTACCTTCAAGAGTCAGCGTTTCAGGGTTGGGGCTATTGAAGCCAGTGAGTGTGGAATCTGGAAGACCCAGTGGTGCAAAACAGCGTAGCTTTATCCCTAAACCCCAAACAAGCCTATTCGGGTTGTTTTGCGAGCACAACGATGTTTTGTTTTCCCGGGACCCGGGAGGCAATACAAATCAGGGTGCATAGCATCGGGGTACGACTTGAGTTGCCGGCCGGTTAAGGGCTTACCCTTTGAGCAGTTCAAGCTAAATCGGTCTTCTCCTGTTCCCGCAACTTCGTGCCCTTGTGCCGAAAGCAAGAGATGGGGGCCATTTCCAGGTCACACCCAAGTGCTCGTGCAGCTTCAAGAAATTTGTGCTTTTATGTCCGTCATGTCCTGGGCAACTTCAAACGTGGAGCTGGATGAGAGTGTCGGACCATACGGGACTCGGAGACCCTGATAACATGAAACCTCAAGTAGTTAGTCGAGTCCTTCCGAAAAGGACTCTAAGCAAGGTACCCCTAGTTTGCTGTAAAAACCCACATGTCGTAAACTCCGTGGCCAGTCTAATGGGCTCGAGATAAGCCTGATGCAGTTAGCAGGACCTACTGTTGGAGCATTTCTGGTGTGATCATGTGTGATCCGTTGTATTCCTTGGGGGACATGGAAACAAGATGTGTTTCATGTCTCGAGCCTTGCACTATCGGCCCATAGGGGTGTAGATCTTTAGGCTTGATTCGGTTTGATGAGGCTTTGTGAGTCCTGTAACAGGCCTGTATAGTATAGTATAGTGTTGTTCACCCTTATTCCAGCCCCAGGTGCTTTGGTGTTTCCCTATTAACATGCAAGTACTCAATGACTCAAGCTGTCTTAGTAGCAGTCCCTATATAACCCCTATATAAACAAAAACGTTAACCTTTAGCTCCCCATGATACCCTAAACCCTAACCCCTAAACCCTAAACGTAACCTTTATCTCCATGACACCAGACAAGTCCTCAAGCTGTCGTCTGAAGCTCAGACCCTGGCCAGGCAAGGTTCGCCTGGAATTGGTCTGACCCGCTTGGACAGTACTTGACATTAACGCAGCTTCGCCGCAAGACCGGAGAAGTGAGGTCAAAGCACAAAGACGGAATGGGGGGGCTTCCTACACAGGGATCAAGTTCCGAGTGTCTTTGTGAACACCCCGAGGATCCATCGAATAGCGCTTCAAACTTCAAAGTCAAAGACACATCCTGCACCACATCGCAGCCACTCTTGAAGGTCAGCTGCAGCATGCGAAGCCATCAATTCTTGGGGTTGAGGGCTAGGCGACTGGCATGAAGCCCAGGGGTGTCTAGGGTTCACTCACGACGGATATCTCCAATAGCGATGTGGCGAAAAAGTGTTTGGAAGGTACGGCACGGCCATTGACCACCTGAGAAATGTCTACCTCAGTGCGGCAGATGGGGTCCGGAAGTTTGATCCGGATGGGGCCACTCTGCTGTCCACCGAGGAGCATTTCGGGTTTCCTTCAGGAGCTGCGTTTAGCTGTCGGACGGTTAGAGCTTTGGGGTCGAGTCGCATTCAAGCTCCTCCCTTTTCAGGATACGGGTGCAGCAGGTTTGAAGCCAGTATGTAGGTAAACTGCAATATGAAAGGCTGTCGGCGGACAGACTTGCCCAAATCCTCCCGCTAGTAAGAACGACGAGTACTGATCGAGTTAGCAATACAAACCCACCTGCTTCATGAAACTAGCTAGCACAGCAGGGCAGCCAGCATTCAGTGAATCACCAAGCCCAGCAGCGGCCTTTACAGTCACAGACTCTTGTCTCGTTGCAATGCCGCTTCCTAGAGAGCCCAATAGCCGTTGATTAAGGAACCTTTCTGAACTTATAGTACAACTTATAGACGGCCACATCGTATGATTTGAGGAAAACCCCTTCGCCAAGGGGAAGCCATAGAACTCCGGAGTTCTGTTCAGCGTCAACTGCGTCAAGACTGATAAGGGAGTTTCAAAAAATTAGGGGGGTACCTTATTTTGGGGCCCTTGTAATAGGGATCCTACTATTCAGGGTACCATATTAGGGTCCCCTATTTTCGGAAACTGCCATGTAGAGCGGTCTCCGGGCTTCTGGTTGTCGGCCTCCGCACAGAACTCAGGACTGCCTAAATATATTATAGACCCCTACTATAGATCCCTTATAGAAGCCTTTAAAGAACCCTTAAAGGAACCCTATTCTACCTATTGAGGCCCCTAAACTACCCTTGGAGTAAAATTCAGCCCTGCTTGATCAACAGAGCTGTTTGCCTTCTTGTCGTAGCAGAGCAAGGGCGGCCACAACACCAGCCGTGCACTCCGCTCAGAACCTCGTGTGGCAGTACTTCTCGCTGCCTGCTGAGATGATGGATGCCCCATCCCTGCTTGATGGGCCGCTTGGCTTGGCCTCAAACCTTCAGGTTGCCAGAATTGTAGGAGCCAAAGAATCACTGGAGGTCCGATATTTTTGCCGCAGTGTACCTGAGTCCAGCTGCCATGATGACTGCTATATGGACCAAGGAAACTATATGGAAGTGACACACATGGAAACATCGTCGCCCTGGATTTGGACGACGGAAAGGCGTCCCGCACAGATAGTCTTGCCTGCTTAGGCAACGGAGTCCACTGCTGCTTTCGCCGGCCCACGATCTGAAGCCCTGACTCCTACAACTCTCATCGATCCTCCAACTAGACCCATAGACCTTGACCCCAATACCCCGTAGAACGCTGTAGCCATGCTGTGGTGTCGACCTGATTTCAAACCTTCCTGCTTTCACCGCCTTTTGTGAGTAGTTGAACCGAGAGCTTGTCCGAGTTGCGAAAGAATAGACTCTGCGGGCCGAAACGTGTTGTCGATGACCCCCTCTTTGAAGTCCTTTGACCAGGTGGTCTGGAAGACCCAAATCGCACCCAACATCGGCCAGGCAAACTGGGCTTCCGCAATGACAGCACCATTTCGGATGTTTGGGATTTGCTTGGGGAGGTTTACTCATCACGGGCAAGCGAGTTTTCTAGAGGCTGCTCTGGTGCAGGGCCTATTTGTGCTCGTCATGATCGGGATCCTTCAATTTAAACTTGGGTTCTATAAATTTCCCGCAACTCCCATGTAGCAGCGTGTCTTTTACTCGTATTGAAGAGCTGCTGCATATGCCCTTGTCTTGGTTGCCGACGGACTCCCGAGCCTCTGTGAGCTCGTGTTGCCATTTGGGGGGGCATTGCTAGGTTGGATTTTGGTGCATTTTTTCTTTTCCTTATTTGGGTCTATTTAAGGGACCCTATATATTGTCTCGGAGACCATGCTTCCGGGCCCGGACATCGCGTGCTGCGGCCACAGTGCAGAGCCGACACAAGAGGCTCTTCGCAGCTCCAGGGGCACCGCTTGACCGCTTGACACAATGCACAGTCTCCTGCGATCCCGGGTTATGTCGAAGTTTACGGTTAGTAGCGCAGTCATTAGATTCGGGTCGGCCCTGCATAGTCGGAACTGGTCTCGACACTACATCTCAATCTGGCACGGGCTGGCGCGCGTCTATTAAGTGCTGTAGACAGCTGGTGCTCCCCGCCGCTGGCACTGGCATTGGCGAGGTCATGCGAGGTCGGTCTCGTTGATGTTGAGGCAGATGGCGGTCAAAGGCCCACCCACGGACCCGGTACACTCCTGCTTTGGAGAAATTCTCAGAGATACGCTGGAGATACGCCTTGATTTTTTCTTTGTTGAGCCACATGCTCCTTGGAGGCCTGCCATCCCACATGAGGGTTGTTCGAGGTCCCTCCACCCGTCGCCGCCAGCCGAGCCTCCGAATATTGTCAAGCCCGACACGTATCAAAAGCACAGACTGCTGTCCTAGCTAATGTCAGGGTATGATTAGTGTGGGGTTTCACTATAGCGCCAAGCTTGAAAAGTCTCTGAGATTAGAGATCCCTGTATTCGTTGTTGGGGTGGGCTTTTGAATAGTTTCCCCTATCCTTTGTTTATGGCCGACATTACAGACTTTTTTGGTCGTAATTTAGGGATACCCATAATGCTGCTGCTATGACAGTTACTATGCCCATGCCTCCTCCTCCTCCTCCTCCTCCTCCTCCTCCTCCTCCTCCTCCTCCTCTTTCTATGTAATAATAATAATAATGATCCAGCACCCTTCACCGAACAATAAGCAATATGTAATTCACTTTGTTGGGGGGGTGCACCCCCACGCTGATCGGATATGATCGGATCCTTGTACTAATTACGGTAGACTGTAAACATCCAGAGTCTAGATGGCTTCCAACTCCCCCGCACTCTTCTGGGACGAATGCAGTCGCATGCTCCATCAAGACACGGCAGCACTGACAGGACAACGGCTTCACCATGGCCAAGGAGCGAGTAGACTCGGACTTGTTTGGAAGGATGGCCTACTTAGAGCAGAAGATTGGGGCGGGACAGTCGGGTCTCTGTGGTTGCGAATACGGCCTTGTCATTCCGCCGCCCTGTGAGGTTTCTTCCAAAACCGTATTTTTCCACATCCTGACATAGCATCTAATGATGGAGAAGGCCAGAGCATGTCAAGCTCCTTGCCCGTATATCAGCTGTCCAGACCAGACCACCTGAACATGTGCCAGCCATTCCACCGCCCACATGCGCATGGGCTTCTTGTTCTATAAGGGGCCTAAATAATCACCAATACTGTTTTGTGGGTTCCTTCTTATGGGCCCCAAAACCCTATTCTAATTATTGTTAGGGCCCCTACATTATATTGCCCTTACAGATGCCTGAGAGTAACCCTTTACAGACCCCTTTAAAGGAACCTCAGGGCCCCTGTAGTTTTCTGCCCAGTCCTCCGAAGTCCCGGAGGATGGTGTCGTGATTGCTGCCTGCGATTGGCGCGAGCCCTCCCCGATGGGGCAGGAATTCTCCGTCACTGCTTTTTGTGATAAGTATATACGTATTTGAATGTATATTATATATATATAGAGAGAGAGAGAGAGAGAGAGAGAGAGAGAGATTGAGAGAGAGAGAGAAGGGGAGCGAAGTAGAGACAGGGGTTGCAGGCAGCGAGCAGACGCAGAGGAAGCAGAACAAAGAGCAGTAGCCCTGAGCCGCTTCGCTGGATTGCAGAACAAAATTGGGAGTCTCCGAAAATTAGGGGTACGCCAGTTTGGGGATCCTTTTTAATAAGGACCCTACTATTTAGGGTAGTATGTTAGGGGCCCCTATTCTCGGAAACTCCCACATGAGGAAAGAGGAAGCTGCCGAAGCTTCCAGAGCTTGCCTTAGCGTGGAAGGGGCGAGACTCTAGACTTGAACTCCGATTAGTGCTGGGATTCCCTTGCAGTCCCTATATGGCTCTACCACAACGGACCCCCAAACCCGATTGAATCTAAGATCTTCTGAGTATTTCAGGCCTCTCAATCCCAACAGCTGGTAGAATCTTCATATAGACCAGGGCATCCCAGTAGCAGAAGCCTCAGGCCGTCCACGCCCACATAGATTATATTGGCATGTCGGGGTCTGAATAAATAGAAATGAGATCCGCCAGGGTCCCCAAGAAGACCATGTACCCCTGCACCGCCTCACCGCTGGATTCCCGGCCAACAGGCCAACCAGAAGGTCAAAGCCCTGAACGCAACTACTGGCAAGCAGCGCCTGAGCATTCAAAGCT